ACGGTGCTAGGGATGCGAGATCCGGCGAGGAACGAGGTGGCGGCGGGGAACTCCGGCCTGGGGTCGAGGTGCTCGTCGGCGGCGAGGCTCCGGTGCGGCAGAAGCGAGGAGGCGGCGGCGGAGGAAGACTCAGGCGGCGGTGGTGCGGATCTGGCCCGGGGGCGGCTCGGGCGGGCCGGCCACGGGCTCCTCGGGCCCGGCCGCGCGGGAGGAGAGAGAGAGGGCGAGGCGGCGGCTCCGGATTGGATAGCGGCGGCAGCAGGGTGATGTGGCGAGCTCCGATTCGTCGAAGTGAGGTGGCGGCGGCGGTGGACATGTCCGGCGCAGGAAGAAACGTCCGGCGGCGCGGAGGGAGTTGGATCTAGGGTTTCATCCGCGAATTAATCCGAAATTTTGGGGAGGGGTGCTCTTTTATTGGTAGAGGGAGCTAGGAGAGTCCAAATGAGATGCGGTTTTCGGCCACGCGATCGTGATCGAACGACCGAGATGATGGAGCAGAGTTAGGTGGGTTTTGGGCCAAATTGGAGGGGGGTTGGGCTGCAACACGCACGAGGCCTTTTCGGTCCCTCGGTTAACCATTGGAGTATCACACGAAGTCCAAATGATACGAAACTTGACAGGCGGTCTATCGGTGGTAAACCAAGGCCGCTTGGCAAGACTCGGTCCAATCTGGAAATGTTTAACCCCCACACAAGAAAGAAAGGTAGAAATGGCCACCGGAGGAGAACGGAACGCCGGATTGCAAAACGGACAACGGGGAAAACGCTCGGATGCATGAGACGAACACATATGCAAATGAAATGCACATGATGACATGATATGCAATGCATGACACGCAAGCAATGACAAGGCAACACCAACAAATAACTGAACGACACCTGACACATCGGTCTCGGGGCGTTACATCTCATTAGATAAGATCCATGAGACTTGGACCCTCCGTCAAGAAAGCCACGAGGTGGTCACGAGGGTAGGGGCGCGCCCCCTGCCTCGTGGGCCCCTTGAAGCTCCACCGACGTACTTCTTCCTCCTATATATATCCACGTACCCCCAAACGATCAGGGACGGAGCCAAAAACCTAATTCCACCGTCGCAACTTTCTGTATCCACGAGATCCCATCTTGGGGCCTGTTCCGGAGCTCCGCCGGAGGGGGCATCGATCACGGAGGGCTTCTACATCATCATCCAAGCCCCTCCGATGAAGTGTGAGTAGTTTACTTCAGACCTACGGGTCCATAGCTAGTAGCTAGATGGCTTCTTCTCTCTTTTTGGATCTCAATACAATGTTCTCCCCCTCTTTTGTGGAGATCTATTCGATGTAATCTTCTTTATGCGGTGTGTTTGTTGAGACCGATGAATTGTGGGTTTATGATCAAGTCTATCTATGAATAATATTTGAATCTTCTTTGAATTCTTTTATGTATGATTGGTTATCTTTGCAAGTCTCTTCGAATTATCAGTTTGGTTTGCCCTACTAGATTGGTTGTTCTTGCCATGGGAGAAGTGCTTAGCTTTGGGTTCGATCTTGCGGTGTCCTTTTCCAGTGACAGAAGGGGCAGCAAGGCACGTATTGTATCGTTGCCATCGAGGATAACAAGATGGGGTTTTTATCATATTGCATGAAACTATCCATCTACATCATGTCATCTTGCTTAAGGCGTTACTCTGTTTTTAACTTAATACTCTAGATGCATGCTGGATAGCGGTTGATGAGTGGAGTAATAGTAGTAGATGCAGAATCATTTCGGTCTACTTGTCTCGGACTTGATGTCTATATACATAATCATACCTAGATATTCTCATAACTATGCTAAATTCTGTCAATTGCTCAACAGTAATTTGTTCACCCACCATAGAATACTTATGCTCTTGAGAGAAGCCACTAGTGAAACCTATGGCCCCCGGGTCTCTTTCTCATCATATCAATCTCCATCACTTTATTATTGCTTTGCTTTTACTTTGCTTTTACTTTATTTACTTTGCATCTCTATACCAAAAATACCAAAAAATATTCTTTATCATCTCTATTAGATCTAACTTTCGTAAGTGACCGTGAAGGGATTGACAACCCCTAAGCGCGTTGGTTGCGTTGAGCTATTGTTTTTGTGTAGGTACGAGAGACTCGAGCGTAGCCTCCTACTGGATTGATACATTGGTTCTCAAAAACTGAGGGAAATACTTACGCTACTTTGCTGCATCATCCCTTCCTCTTCGGGAAAATCCCACGCAGTGCTCAAGAGGTAGCACCCGGCACACTGCCCTAGACGTCGTCGGCCTTACTCTTGCCCTTGCCGTCGACGCCGCCGTCGTTGATGAGGTCGATGAAGACCGGAGCAGGGCCAGCCCACCCAAACGCCGCCTGGTACGCTGCCAGGGCAGCCTCCTCCGACGTCTGCTGGGGCGGTGGCATTACGGCAAGCCGCGCGCGCTCCTCCTCCTCCTCGAGCCGGAGCGCCTCCGCGTCGCGTTGGAGCATGGCATCGTAGCACATCTGCTCCTCGCCGTCGTCCTGCTCCTGGCGGAGTCAGTGCTCCTTTCATCGCTCGAGGTGGGCCACCTCCTCCTCCGGCATCGCGGCGAAGTGGGTGAGAGGCGCGCTCACCCACTCGCGGTACTGACCCATCCACGAGTAGGCCTCCTCCGGCCAAGTGGGTGGAGGCGGGGAGCGCTTACGCGTCAGCTCCGGCTCCGGCTTGGGCTGGACGGGCGGCGACGGTGGTGGTGGCGGCACGAAGAGCGGGGTGTGGACAGAGTCCCCCGCTGCCGACAGGGCAAGGGCTTGCTCCAACCCATCCCAGTGAGCGTCCTCCTCGAGGTGCCTAGCCTCCAGCGCACGCTGCAGGGCTTCCTCGAGGGCGGCTTGGTACTCCGCCTCCGCCTCCATGTCCTCCGGCTCTACCTGCGGGGGCGGCGGTGGGAACGGCGGCGGGATGGCGTTAACACCCGAGCGCCGTTGCTCCTCGTGTTCGAGGGCGAACCACGCGCTCCCAGTTGAGGGAGTTGGCGGCGTACTCTGGCAGCCGACACTGCTCCGGCATGAGCTGCGCGCGGCACCTGCGCACCTCGTCGTCGTGCGTCCGCTGGGTACGAGGAACCGCCGGCACCGGGATCCGCTGCGGATCCAGATGCCAACGGTGCGGCAGCGTGACATCGGGGTACGACAATGGCTGCCTGTACTCCTAGTGCCACCGCGTTTGGTGCACCGGGATGTGCAGGCGCCGGCGACCAGGGTGGAAACGCGCCGCCGCCGGAGGAGGAGGAGGGGGAAGGGGAGCACGGGAGGACGAGGCGTCGGGGGTGCCCTTGCCCTTGCCGTTGCTGCTGCCGAATAGGCCCATCGTTAAGGTTTGCGGTCGCTGGCGAGGAAGCAAAGGGAGTGGTGGGGGCAGATGTGGACGGGAGAAGTGGATGAGGCCGACCCTGCCGCACGCGTGGTTAAAAAAAGACGCTTCCACTTGCTGACGGTTGGGCCCGTTGTCGGTTGTCGTCATAAATAAGACGACCGGTGACGGTTGGGTGGCCGCCAGGTGGGGACGCGGCGGACGGCAAGGAGACGCGCGGCTCGTTTGCTTCGCGTCCGTGCCGACGTATTTCAGGCGCAATTTTGGGCTAGAAATGGATCGGCGCGAACGGCAGGCGGACACGATTTAAGTTTGGGTCGACGCATTGGGCCGCTACTTTTGTCTGCGTCGACCCAAACGAACGCGGACGGACGAAATTGGTCGTCTCATTGCAGTTGGCTCGTGCTACTGTGGCGCCGAAAGCTGTTCATTTCTCTCGGCTGCTAGAACCATCGAAAGGCCGGACTGGTACGAGCCGGGCGAGGACGCGCTCCAAGTCCAGTGCACTGCGCAGCTGCTCCGGCGCTAACTCGGGTAGGTGCTTCTGTGATATTCCTTTTTCTAGAACGTGCAGCCGTACTCTCTTTTACCCTATTGGACAAAGCAGACCGAGCAAGTGGGAGTGGCGTGAGATATTTTATCCTTCAGATCGACAGCCATATCACTACCCTACAAGGTTGTATACATTCCAAGTGAGCAAACAATGGTGTTACGGCCCTGTCACACCGACGGACTCTCTGATGCCACAGCGCTCCATTGCTAGCCACGTTCATGTGTCGACTTCATTTCTGGTTTCGGCTCTGCCACCATTCTTTCCGAGATCTTACTCCGCAAGTCCCAGCATGAATTCCGCTGCCTCTTCCGAGAGTACCTACTCTGTTCTGTTCGGAAGCTCTAAGATGTTCGAGCTTAAGCTTTAAAATCGTAAAATATGCACCATCTTGGCGTGCTGGCGTAAGCAATGATGCGCCGTGGCTGGCTTGGCAACAGCATCTTTGCGGGAACATGGCCGCCCCTCTGTCTACCGTCTAGCCGGACTCGTAAAGTTAGCCCCTCAAGCATTCACCGACATGAGTATGTGTCTATTTTGTGTCCCTATTTATTCATGCACGCAGCTATGTCTTTTAATATATTTTTTATATTGTCTGATCATATGCATGTGATTATAGTCCGCAATGGGCCAAATTCTATGTGGCAATTGATCGGACACATCCGAGCACTTCTCATGTTGCCTCATTTTTTCGGGATATATTGCCTCATGTATGACTTAAATGTGAGGAGTGCTGGACAGCCGAAACATATAGAAAAGCTTTGAGGAGTTCGATTGGGTCAGTGATCAATTTGGAAAGTCCGGTTGTAGGTGTTCTAATAGACGAGATTTCTAAACCTCAGTTAACTGAGACTTAACGGAGTCTCATCGATGTTATATTTGTGCGATCTTGCGTGGACATCCGTTAATTTTTTTTTTCAAATATTCTTTTTCTTTTTTACTATGTTATTTTTGTTAAGTCTCACGAGATCTAGCCCCACCCTCTAATAAAATACTTCGCCTTTTCCCTCGGCGGAATGTCCGGGCGCGGCGCATGTACGCAAACTTTGTAGTACTAGTAGTACAACAATAATGGGGCTGTGGCCATCCTGTCGCGGGGAGAGATCGAGATGAGGGATCCGGAAGCGCCCTCGCTGGTGAGGCTGCCGGAGCACGTCGTGCTGGAGATCCTCGCGCGCGTGCCCGGCGTCGACGACCTCTTCCGCTGCGCGGCCGCGCGCAAGCGCTGGCGCGACCTCGTCACCGAGCCGTCCTTCCTGCGACGCCGCTGGCCGGAGGGCGCGTGCCACTGCTCCTCCCTCGTCGGCTTCCTCGGCCGGGAGCGGTGCCGCGGCGGGGCAGGGCCGCCGGGCTCCAGCTTCGTCCGCGCGCCGGGGTCGGTGCTCGGCCCCGGCCGTCCCCTGCTCGGCTCCTTCGTCCCGGGCGCCACCGGACTCCTCGACGACCGCGTCGTGCCGCTCGCCTCGCACCGCGGCGTGCTCCTCGTGCGCTTCGGCGCCGGCGCCGAGACGGAGACGGAAGCGGAGCCAGAGCTCGGCGTCGACCGCCTCGCCGTGTGCAACCTGCTCTCGGGCGCGTGCCACGTGCTCCCCCCGCTGCGCTGCGACTGGTTCTTCGACTACTTTGGCACGAGCGCCCACGCCGTCCTCACCGGCGCGGACTGTTGCCCCGACGAAGGCCAGCGGCAATCCCCGGACCCGGCTTCCTTCAAGGTGCTGGTCGTCGGCGTCAGCGACGACCGGCGGCACTACGTTCTCCGCACGTTCTCCTCCGGTGAGCCGAGCTGGAGCGCGCCCAGCGAGTGCTTCGACCCGGTAGAGCGCGGCATCTTCGGGCCGTTCAAGCGGCGCAGCGCCGTCGTGAGCCACGGGACGGCGCACTGGGTCCTCTGGGACCTGGTGAAGTTCCACGTCCTCGACGTGAACGCCGCCACTCGCCACGCCTCCTTGCAGGAGCTACAGACCCCGCCGCCGGCAGGCGACCTCCCCCTGTACGAGTCGCCGCATCTGAGCGTCGCGCCAAACAAGGCGGCGACTCTGTCGTCGCTTTGCCTGTCGAGCCAAGACCCCCAGGTGGAGATCTGGACGCGGCGGGACGGCGGCAAAGGGAGCAACGAGGGCTGCGGCGGAGACTGGAGCCGCGATAGGGTGGTCGAGATGACACCCGAGCAGAATCAGATCGTCGACAGGCCACGGTGCATGTGCACCGGGGACAGGAGCGGCACGGTGTTGATCACTGACCGGTGCCGGTGCATGTACATTTTACATCTCGAAAGTGGCGCCATGGAGGAGGTGACGGACCACCTCCGTGGCCTCCGTGACTACAAGACCGCCATGGCCGTCGAGATAGATTGGCCGGCCTTCTTCGTCTGTCGGCTTCTTGGTGGAAAGGCACATGTTTAATCTGGGGCGAGCATTTCTCTCTCATCGGCGTAAGCTGGCCGACCTGGCTGTATTAATTCGTGTTAATTATGTTCGAGATCGTAACAACCTTTGTGCAACCGGAACAAACCTCAACATATACTTCTGTATATGTTGTTCCCTCGCAAGCAAAAATAGCAAAGGTTTAAAATTGCATGCATATGCATATGGATAAGAAGAGAAAATTGATGTCATCAAGACTACTCCCTCCGTTTCAAAATAGATTACTAAAGTTAGTGTAAACTTGGATCATCTATTTTGAAATGAAGGAAGTACTACTTTAAAAGCTTAAAGCTTACAAATGTTAACTCCTTAAACTGCAATCAATTAGTCTTTATGGTTGGGAGCTTAGGGCTCTTTCATAATTTTTTGGGCTACTTGCATTTGTGGCTCAGTTCAGCCTGGCTGAGTAAATACAAACTATAAACCATGTTAGACTACCCACAGTGAGAGTAATACTAGCCACAATGGGAGTAACTTCAAGTCCAACTCAACAAATTTGTTTATGTGGCAATGAGTTAACGAAGAGAGAGGTAGTTCTAGTAATTTAGCTAGTTACTGTAACATCACATGTCCCAATGCAGTATGAGTCTATAACCTAATAAATGGGAGATCTCAATAAATGAAGCTTTGCATGACACCACACCTATGTTAGACCTCCTCCAATGCAAAGGTGCTTAGATGAGGTGCTAAGTATATTAAATGCCTTAGCAACTCAAGTCCCCAATGCAAAGGTGCTAAGCTTCATGCATTTAATTAGTTATAGACTCAAAATTGTTCTTCCACCTAGGTACACGTGCTTAGCACTGTTTCCTCCTGGGGTCACCATACTATTCTTTCTCCTCTTAACTAGCATGCCACGTCAGACTTTTTGCTTAGTTGGCAACCTTAGCACCTGTCCAAGGTGGAGCATTGGGAGGGGCCTTACTACCCACTATGAAGGTAGTAACATAATCTAGGGATATATGTATGTTACTAGTGTATGTTACTCATACATATCTAGATAAATAGATGATGTGGCAAGCAATAAATGAAGAAATGGAGGAAATTGGTAACATGGCTACTTACTAGTAGTATGAGTAATATCACACATATCAAGGCAAAATGAGTCTATAGCCTAATAAATGAAATGTTGTATGTTACCGCACATATGTTACTCCTCACTATAGAGGTAGTAACATAGACTAGTAACATGTGCATGTTACTAGTCTATGTTACTACCCATTGTGGCTAGTCTTATGTGTATGATTTTGTTGCTTGCATTGCATCATCAGGTCATTTGATCTATGTCGTTTGGCTGACAACAGTTGGGGATTACGGTTGTGAAGGTGCAAACATGGCATGTATGGCCTAATATCAGGGCCACTCCTTCTCACCAGTGTTGACCTTGTCGTACATTACAGTTCAGGGATAGTATCAAATTAACATTGTTTTAGTCCTGAATACTAAAAAAATGACAGTTTGTCTTAATTGCTAACAAAGGCGATACAAATTAATATTCATAAGGCCCAATAGGGAAAGTTCATCAATGACGAACCAGGTAGAAATTCTTCGACCTTGTCTTGTTCTACCGTTGTTGCTTCTTCTTCTGGCACTGCTTTTTCTTCTTCTTCTTCTTCTTCAGATCCTTATGTTACCTTTGTTGGCCCACGTTATCTCAGTCCACTTAAATTTTTGCTCTTCCGAGCTCATTGTCATGGGCCTCCACGCCATGATCGGAGTCATCAACATCATCGATCGTCATATTTTTCTCCTCCGGCACAAACTCATCATAACCCCATTCTAAGATCCAGATATAGTGAATGCAACATGCAATAACAAGTCTAACTTGGATGGAGAAAGGGTGAAATGTCTTCTGATCCAGGATCTTAAATCTATTATTCAAAACATCATGTGCCCTCTTAATTGTAACTCTTAAGGTTCGAGTATCTGAGGTTGAACAATTCGACGGCAGTACTAGAATAGTTTCGAGAAGAGAACTCGCTCAAATGGTATTTGATTTTTCCTGAAGGGTGGAAGAACACAAAACCAACATGCATCAGCATCACCTAGGTAAAACTTACCATCAGAGATACTTATCCCATCAGGTCAGGACATGTTGCCAGCAAGAATGTTAGCATTGTAGGTTGATCCTTCCTATCCGGTTAACACATATGTGAACTTCAGATCGAAATCGACACCTGCGAGCACATTTTGGCTTGTGTAGTGCTTTCCACCCATGTATACTGCAGCATGTGACCTCGACACTCTAGCAGTCACATGAGTATCATCTATTGCGTCAATACAATCATGTGATGGCATGAAAAAACATTTATGCCTCGCTCAAAACAATACAAGCATGTCATGTAATGACTGCTCACCTTGAAATATGCATATCATCTATGGCTCGTGAGAATCTTGAAAGGAGTTTGCCTAGTTGGTGCCTTGATCATTGCTCCTCTGAGCTCTCCAATCGCGTATCAGACTTGCTTAAAATATCTAAAAGTTGTCTACTGATATCCTGAAATTGTTGTGAAATAGTTTGAACCTCTAGTTATGACCCACTACGGGAAGGAACAATGCTACTTGCACTTTCACGAAGGTGTGGATGCTATCTTGTAACAATTCCCCTCCCTAAACGTGGCCATAAGCAAGGTGCTCTTCCCATTAGAAGCATGTTCACAACCTTTACATCATTGTTGTTGTTGACTGGACATCCTCTCCATGTCCAGGGCTAACACTGGACCATAAGGATCACATGTTTTTTTATCACAATGAACCGCTCTATTGTGGACCTACATGACCCATGCCTGAATCGAAGTTGTGTTATTGCCTAAATTACCAGCCATGCGTTCATCCTAGTGAAAATTATGTTACGGTAAATAATGACAAAATTGCTCATACACCCTACCTTACGATCTAATGGTGGGGGTGGTTGTATGCAACCTATCACCATTGGAGCCAACGAACCATTGATGCCAGGGACGAGACATAGACAGAGACTAAGGAGATAGTCCCTCACGGAGGGAAGGCACGGGTCCTGGTACCAAAGGTTTAAGTTGTCGTCGCAGCCACAACAACTTTCGCAGATAAGGAGGCTCATGTTTTATTTTGAGCAACATATAAAAAAGGCAAAGACACAATTCTATTCTATAATGGCACATTGAAGTATCTTCTCGCTTCATCCAAAACATAGATGTATTCCCTTGTCCAAAAATAACTATCACTCAAATAGATATATGTAGATGGATTTTAGTGCTGGATATAGTATATGAACCTAAGCAATAGCCAGAACCCTAGAAATTTGAGGGAGATCCCAAATTAGGAGTACGACCACAATTGCACAGACTATAACCGGTTCCCAATAGCACATTAGCTAGTCCAAACACATGAATTAGATCAACAGGAGCAACAATGAGTCATTTCTAAACCTACGAGCAACACGGTAAGTAGATCGCGCCACTGAACAAAGTATAGCACCAGATCCACCAGAGGCACCACAGATACTAGGAGGAGCTCACCTAGGAGGTTGTAGCCAAGGCAGTAGCACAGCCTCTCGCCGTTGTCCCTACACGGCGAGGAAGAAGCTGCAGCACCGAGGGCCACCATCACAGCCACCTCCAGGTGCAGCCTCCTTGTGTCTAGCCTCACGGCCACCGGATCCTACGCGTCCGGAATAACAGCCACTGGATCCAGACTCGCCGACACTGGATCCGGTGACTCACCGCCGACTAGGAGCCAGAAAAACAGAACTTTTTTTGTGAAGGGGAGCGCCACAAGCCGAGGTAAGGTGGAAGGAAGCGTGTCAGCAGGGTGGAGGGAGTGCAGAGAGTGAGAGTGCAGCTGCGTGGCTAGGAGTAGTGGAGTGCAGGTTGAATACAAAAAGAGTCAATGACGTTTTTGCAAGGACATTTTTGCCAAAATATCATTCCGACTGATATTTTGGGGCGGGGGAGTATAAACCAAGCAAATTACCAGACAAAACAAACGATCATCTGATGTTCATAACCGAGCCTACCAACATCAACAAGCATCACGTCAGAGTTCCGCCTCATATATTGCACAATCTCCATCTATGTCGTTTGTTTATGCTAAGTATTGCACAACCTCCATGTGTAACATATGTTTATCCAGACCCCATCTTCGACTATTCAACTACTTAACTTATTTTCCGGCTTGCTCAGCGTTCTCATTGCTAGTTGGCGATGCGGTGGCCCCTTGCTGCATCATTTGCAATTGGATTTGCAACACCTGGAACAAGTGGCATATGCATTACGTGACAATAGACGGCCTTAACGAGAAAATAACTATCACACGGCATCATCTTATTCCCGGCAATCATGCCAAATCATCAGTTACTTCATCTCATTGGTCGCTGCTAGTTACCAGACAAACATTTATATCTTGAGCAATGGCAGCCATGAAAAAGACTATCCTTGGAAGCTGATGAACTATGTTTACTGTCTACGATCATTCTAGTTTCCCATCCAGAATGTTATGACATATATACTTGAATGCTGCATACTGTTCTTTAAGAATCAAGTGTTTGTCAAGATAGTAATGAAACTGAGTACTCCCTCTGTTCACTTTTATAAGACCTTGAAGACATTTCAGACAATATGCAAAACAGCCTATTTTGAGTTGTCTGAAACGACTTACAAAAGTGAACGGAGGGAGTAACTAAAATAGCAGGAGAAACGAACTTATTGGCATGGCTGTCAACTCTCACAACATTGTACGCACAGTTACAAGTTACAACTGCTAGTGACCTATATAAATGTGTAAGTGAGCAATAAACATAAGATCGGGATTATATCCGGTGCACATCATCAATTAGATGCAATCGTGCAAACCACTTTGGCTTCAATATTAAATCATATTAGAAGTCACCAAACAAATGTCAAGGTTGTGTATTAATGTAATATACCCCCTCTCTAAAGAAATATATAAGAGTGTTTTGATTGCTAAAGTAGTGATCCAAACGCTCTTATATTTGTTTACGTAGGGAGTAACATGTAAAATTTCAAATTCAATTCAGTTTGTATTGAGGTTCTAAAAGAAAATGGAAAAATAACAAAAGAAAAGTAAAAAAATCTCCTTTATGTCTTTCTTAGCTAATGTGGAGTTTTTTCTGGAAATTTTGAGGGGTACAATACTCGATATAGTGTACCGTCACAAAACTAACTTTTTTCACCTTCATTTGAGTGTTAAATATATTTGAGGAACATTTGAACCTCAATACAAGGAGGTTTTCTCCACACACACACACAAAAAAAAAAACAATGTCAGGGGCATATAGAGTGCAATAAATTCACTTATGTGTGAAATCATGCAAACTCTCGCATGAGTAGTTGGATGCTAGTTGCATGGTCTAGATTCATTAGTTAATCGTAGATGTCATCCCTCATTAAAAAAAATAGTATATGTGTTATTCAGAAAGTTATCTATCTGGTTATTACAGCCTTTTCATACACAATCGCCAGTAATCTACAAATACCATGGTTAAGCAGATTGCATTAGGAAGAAAGGTCTTACCTCTATCTGGCTCCTTATAGCCTTTTCATATGCCTTCTGTAGTGAATTTCCAGGGTCCCCGCTACCAGTTGTTGAACTAACTGGACCACGTGAATAAGAAGGCTGAGGTTCTAATGGATGGCTGGTGGAAGTACTTGCTTCTCCTGGTTGTGAAGTACTTGGTGTAGCGTGCAGAGGTCCTGAGTTCCTGATGATTGATAAAGGGCACTTCAATTCATCGGCATGAAAAAGTACTCCCTCCGTCCCAAAATAAGTGTCGTGGACTTAGTACATAGGGAGTATTTGACAAAGTAAATACCGTTGTTTCAATAGTCCATCAGTGCAATAGTGAAACTGACATAGACAGTGACTAACCCAATCTCAGGTAGCTAAGTATGAAGAAAGTTGATCACATGCAGTACTAACTTGCTGTACAAAAGGTCAAAACCCAGAAGGCCAGAACTGAATAAAAGCATGTTAACTTTAATCTAATGCAATAACAATTAAGTTATAATGTGTTCCCACTTAGAAGGCAATGTTAGTGTTTTCCCACGCCATGCATTCATCTCATTTTTTGCTGTTGTGCACTCTTTGGGTCAACCACTTCAATGAGACGACCACAGTGCAGAAACATAAAAATGGCACAACCAAATGCAAAGGATTAGTGGCAAAAAGAAAATTGCTCCAAAGTGCGTATACTTATCACGGAAAAAAAGAACAAGTTCTACCAATTGTTATCCACTATATTAAACCACCATCAACATGGCACAGGCAAATTAAAAAATTATTAACTAAACTGGCAAAGTTTGCAGATATATTCCAAGTCAAAAGTGTCATAGCTTGCAACTGAGAGATCTAAGAACTATGGAAGTTGCAAATGTAATCTATGGGGAAAAAAGAGCCATCATTTATTATCATAACTAATGGATCGCTAGCATAATCATAAAGAGCGTTTAAAGTGTAACCTATTCCAGAAAAACATACCTATTCAAAGTGTTCACTGGAGGATAAGCAAATGATCTCCCATATAAAGAAGCAGCTGAAGCAGCAGCCTCAAGTTTTGCTTGACGCATGTTCACGTTCTCAGTTGGTGCTCCTCCTGAACTTGGAGTACCGGTGCCTGCACCGATTTTCCTTACATTGAATTAGGATTGACATGCAAAACTGGTTGCATAATGTACTACTGACTGATAAAAATGGCTAGATGGTAAAGTACGATTCAAAAACTCAGACCAATGAAGAGAATCTCACCAGGCTGAACTCCAGGTTGAGCTCCATGCTGCTGTGCTGATGCTGCACGTCCATTATCTGGGGGGATAATTGGAGCTCTACATGTTGGGCAAGTATGTTGGCGCTGTAGCCATGACCTCAAACAATGTACATGGAACAAGTGCCCACAAAGCAGCTTCTTTGCTGTGGTCATCTCTTCACGGCAAATAATACATGTGACATCACCCCTGAATATATAAAGAATCTAAATCATAAACAAGTTCAATTGTTGAATCAGTCAATCAACCAAAACAGTACCAATGAAACTAAATGTACTCACGCATCAAGCTCATCTGGTGTGGCATCTGGAAAGCGTTCATTCATGTTGGAAGTCACCTTTCTGTAGCGTATATAATCTGAAATGCGAATTCTGAAGTTGCGGAAGGTCTCATACAGCTCACGAATCAAGTGCAATGGGACACCATAGTTCCTGATATCAAAATAACAGATCAGCCTTAGAAGTTCAAACTACAATATCCTAAGGGGAAAAGAACATTTTATAAAAGAACTTACAGGAAGATCGCTATGAAGAATAGCATATATAAAGACAAGTGCACAAGGTCACTGATAAGCTCCAAATAAAATGTATACACTGCTTTATTCTCCCATTGACCTTCCGCTAGCATGTCGCTGACATAGAATACATACTTCACGAATGTCGACACTGTCGATGTTGCCAGTATCATATACCTAAAACATGAGTCGCACATGTGTGAGCTACTATGAATCTCAATATCTAGAAATAATACATCAGTAATCATCTGCAGAGATCAAGAATAATAGAATTATAACCTGAAGTAAATAACGCAAGACTAATCATCAGCTCAATCTAGGAGCTTTCTCGGGGTATAACTCAATATGGTAGTTACCTTGCCTGAAAGGCATGTCCCGTGCTTTAAAAAGCAATAATCAACAAAAAAATTCCATAACTGGTGAGATTCACCGCAGTTTAGACAACTGATCAAATGATTTGCACTGCTTTCACTTAAATGTATTGCTTAAACTTAGAAGAATAATTCAACAAGTTCCTGGACTTGGATTTTGACAAATGACAATCATAACATACAAGAAAAACTATTCATGGTCTAGTAGATGCGCCAAATGAAATGATTAACTGTTGAGTACAATAGCGTTAGCCCTGATGCAGAAGTTGCTAGATAAAATCGATGGCAAACATTACTTAAGAATGAGTAACAAGTAACATGTCATCCTACTAGTGCGTCTTCAAGCATATATATAACAAGAAATTCTGATGTTTATATGTGATGTGCTGCATGTTTATTGAAAAATATCCACTTCACATTCACACACGTTACATTAATGGGTGTGTCTAGGGCACATCTAGATGTGCTCTAGTTATTGCACATCTAAGTGAGTGAATCAAGCATAAAGAGAAAAAGAAAAAAGAGAAAAAAAATATTCACACGAATCTCAATGTAAGATCAATGACATATGACTTAGATGTGTAATACTTATGGCACATCTAGATGTGCTTTAGCAGAACTGTACATTAATCTGTCATATCATGAAAGAGGGGCTTTCCAGGAACAGTTCGCATTTTTCACAAACTTCCACCCTTAGGTATATAACCAAAGCATGCCCTCCATATTTGAGATCAAACAGTTGATGCTTTTTTTTTCAATTTGGTCAGACAGATACTATTTGAAAGGTCGTGTGGCATAATAAGGATGCTACTATATTGCAAGCAAGTAAAGGATGATTTACGAAAACTTACTCAAAAGAAAAGAAGATGGCCACAGATGCCTCCCGCTTCTGTATCAGTGAGCCCAGCGAGTTCGCCAGGAAGAGGCAGTCGACGACAAGAAGGAATAGCATGAAGGACACGATCCTTATGTGCGACAGCATTGGCACGGAGGGTGTGGTCTCAATGTACTCGACCCTCTTCTGCGCAAGCCAGTGCAGAGCCTTGACGAGGAGCAGGGCGGCGACCATGGCGAGGAAAGAGACGGAGAAATCCTGGCGGAAGATGGTGACCGCGAAGAGGATCTCCACGACCTCACGCCACGACTGCTCGTTGAGCCGCTCGACCTCGGCCTCCCGGAGCGTCCCCAGGAAGACGCGCTTCACGAGCTGCCAGGCGACGCACATGGCGACGAGGCCCGTGTTGAGGAGCAGCACGAAGCATATCTTGGACGTGGAGAGGTAGACCATGGCCGGGTAGAACTGCTCCCTGCTGCTGAACGCATAGTACACCGACGTTATCGTCGCCAGCAGGCTGAACACCGCGTACGTCTGCAACCGGATCATCTCGGCCGCCGCCCTCGGCGAATCCCCTCGCGAATTCCGCCGGAAACCCTACGCGCGCCACCAGCGGATCACCTGGAGCAGAAAGCGAACATCAGAGGCCCGATCCGCAAAAGTTTCCTCTCGAATTTTGCGCAGATTGGGAGGTGGATCGAAGAGACGCGGGGCGCGAATCCATGCCCTAGGCGAGCAGGCTGCGTCGGAGTGCAGTAGTGTGCTCGTGGTGGCTTACCGATGCGAGGCTGGGGGGCGGTGCCGGAGTGGAATCTCGTCCCGGGATGCGGCGGCGCCCCTATCCGGATTTCGTACCCTTGTGATTGGTTGGATTAGGAGAAACTCTAGGCTGTGGGAGGGGAGATAGCATCAAGGTATTCCACCTGCGAGGACCATGTGAGTGAATTGAATTGGGTGTGGGGAGGAAGAGGGGGCGGGTTCGCTCGGAGAGAAGGGGGGTCTGCACGCCGGCTGCGAGGGAGGTGCGCCGGTGGACATGCGTCGTCGTGCCAGCACGGCGGTGGCGTGTCGCTGGCCAATGGGCCGCATCCACGTGTAGAAAAGACGTGGCATCTTCGGTCTTGTTTTTCTTTTTAATTTCTTTTTTCGTTTTTGAGGGGTTCAATCTTCGGTCACTAGGGACGGGCAGACGCTCCCAAGGGAAGAACCTCTATATTTGCCCAATTAATGTAGCAGAGTAAATTAGCGGCATGTGGCTAAAGGAGAAAATCAAGTATTTCCCACTTTGAATATTTGGCTTCTCAAAATTGCCAACGTTAAGGCCCCGTTAGGGAATAATCCGCTCCACGCTCCACTCCGGGAGCTGAGGGAGCTGTAGTACGAAATCTGAGAGCGAGCAAACCGCCGCTTCGTAGATTCTAGGAGCTGGTGAATTCTCGAACGGGGCTTAAGAGTTGCATGAATTCCTTAAATCAAGGCTCGTCAAAATGAAAAATCTGAAGTTTAGGGCTTAATAACCGCTACAACATCCTAATCATCTGCTAGAACATCTAGGTAATTGGCTGAAACGTAAGAATACCTTGATTGCCTTGGTGATTGGAGACGAACGTGACGACCCTTGCCTGCTTGGAGTAGACATGGTGAAAGACCGCTGCAATCATTCGCGAAGTAGATCTGATTGCCCTGGTCATCGGAGACGAAGGTGACAAACCTTGCCTGCTTGGAGGAGAGCAGACATGGTGAAGGATCACTGCAACCATCTGAGAAGTAGATCTGTAGATGGCATTAGGAAGTCATCGGCATAGCCTTGCGGTGGCCGGCGATGGTGGTTTGTCTTCTGATCTCCTTTTACACTCTTTGTAGGATCGACATTTGAGAATAGATGGACTTAATCAATACGCGCGTATATGCGCGTGCCCAAAGGGGCGGGTTGAGTGGCGCTGGCGCGTGGGTAGGTGTGGCAAATGACGATGGCGGTTAGGTATGCACGTGTGTATGTGCGCGCCCAAGAGGCGGGTTGAGTGGCGCTGGAGTGTGGGGTAGGTAGGACAACTGGCTATGGGGGTGATGGGGGTCGGGTACGTGCGTGTGTGTGCGCCCAAGGGGCGGGTTGAGTGGCGCTTGAGCATGGGGTAGGTAGGACAAATGGCGACGGGGTCAGATACACGCGTGTGTGCGTGCCCAAGGGATGGGTTGGGTGGCGCCGGCGCGTGGGTAGGTGGGGCAATTGGTGATGGCAGTCAAGTACACGTGTATGCGTGCCCAAGGGGTGGTTTTGCATGGCGTTGGCGCGCGGGTAAGTTGGGCAAGTGGCAATGGCGGTCAGGGACATGCGTGTGTGCGCGCCCAAGGGGCACATTGAGTGGCACTGGCGCGTGGATATGTGGGGCAAGTGGCAATGACGGTTAGGCAGAGCGAGCAGGCAACAGTCGAGTGGTGCGAGCAGTCAACAATCGGGTGGGCAGCACAAACATTTACTGAAGACGATGAAAAAAATGTGAAGGGAAGGGGTAGTGACAAAAAGATTCGTATTTTTTGTAAGTTTAGCATTTTTGTAGCCGGACAATCTTAGATATCTAAAATTGGTCTTTTTCAAATACCTCTGAAAAACAACCCGGTAATAAAGGGGCAAATGGGTTGGGTGGCAATTTAGCTAATCCATATTTGAAGTGACAATTTTGAGAAGCCACAAATTCAAAGTGGCAAATATTTGACTTTCTCCTAAATAAACCCATCCGAGATAACATATTAATTTTCAAAATGAAATATATGTTTGAGTTCACATTTTTTTATTTCGTTTCCAAAGTGTAGAATCACTGACCCTAGATAATAGATTATTTTCCAAAAAGAAATATAATTTTAATTCACATTTCTAGTTTGTTTCTAAAATTGCGTAGAATCACGATTACCACCCATAAATGAAGGTTGTACAATGTGACATATGACGCCCATTAATCAAGAAAATAGTCCTACCTAGATCAAGAAGTGACAACTTGGTTTCGAGTGTTGTCCCTGGTTGTTGCATCACCCCAGAATGTTGCAAATATTAAGACTTGTGTGTATGTTTTCTTATTTGCTGTTGAACATGACATATCTTGTATTGCTATCCTATCTTCTCTAGTCTTGTATAACTGACTTCTAGAAATATGATAGGAATAGTTTCCTTGTCACGCAAGACATCATGTGTATATATTGTAACCTACTCCATGGAATACAATGAGTTGCATCTCTACATGGTATCAGTTTACCCTACGATTATCATCGCTTCCACCCTGCGCCGGCGCTGCTGCCGCATCTTCATGTAGCCGCCGCCGCGCCACCTCCACCCTAGGCCGCCGCCGCATCTCTGATACGTCTTCAATGTATCTATAATTTTTTGATTGCTCCATGCTATTATATTATCTATTTTGGATGTCAATGGGCTTTATTTTACACTTTTATATCATTTTTGGGACTAACATACTAATCGGAGGCCCAACCCAAATTGCTGTTTTTTTGCCTATTTTAGGGTTTCGAAGAAAAGGAATATCAAACGGAGTCCAAACGGAATGAAACCTTTGGGAACATGATTTTCTCAACGAATGTGATCTAGGATACTTGGAGTGTGCGTCAAGAAACAACGGAGGAAGCCACGAGGCAGGGGGTGCGACGACCCCCTGGGCGCGCCCTCCACCCTCGTGGGCCCTCTATTGCTCCACCGACGTACTTCTTCCTCTTATATATATTCACGTACCCTCCAAACATCCAGGAGCACCACAAAAACCTAATTCCACCGCCGCAACCTTATGTACCCGAGAGATCCCCATCTTGGGGCCTTTTCCGGAGCTCCGCCGGAGGGGGCATCGATCACGGAGGGCCTCTACATCAACTACATGGCCTCTCCGGTGATGTGTGAGTAGTTTATTTCAGACCTACGGGTCCATAGTTATTAGCTAGATTGAATCTTCTCTCTCTTTGGATCTCAATACAAAGTTCTCCTCGATTTTCTTGGAGATCTATTCGATGTAATCTTCTTTTGCGGTGTGTTTGTCAAGATCCGATGAATTGTGGGTTTATGATCCAGATTATCTATGAACAATATTTGATTCTCCTCTGAATTCTTTTATATATGATTGGTTTATCTTTGCAAGTCTCTCCGAATTATCGGTTTGGTTTTGCCTACTAGATTGATATTTCTTGCAATGGGAGAAGTGCTTAGCTTTGGGTTCAATCTTGCGGTGCTCGATCGCAGTCCTAGTGACAGAAAGGGAACCGACACGTATTCTATTGTTGCCATCGAGGATAAAAAGATGGGGTTTATATCATATTGCATGAGTTTATCCCTCTACATCATGTCATCTTACTTAAAGCATTACTCTGTTCTTATGAACTTAATACTCTAGATGCATGCTGGATAGCGGTCGATGTGTGGAGTAATAGTAGTAGATGCAGAATCGTTTCGGTTTACTTGTCTCGGACATGATGCCTATATACATGATCATACCTAGATATTCTCATAACTATGCTCAATTCTATCAATTGCTCGACAGTAATTCGTTCACCCACCGTAATACTTATGCTCTTGAGAGAAGCCACTAGTAAAACCTATGCCCCCCGGGTCTATCTTTTATCATATTAATCTTCCAATACTTAGTTATTTCTATTACCGTTTATTTTACTTTGCATCTTTATTTATCTTTATCATAAAAATACCAAATAATTATCTTATCATATCTATCAGATCTCACTCTCGTAAGTGACCGTGAAGGGATTAACAACCCTTTATCGCGTTGGTTGCGAGGTTCTTATTTGTTTGTGTAGGTGCGTGGGACTTGAGCGTGATCTCTTACTGGATTGATACCTTGGTTCTCAAAAACCGAGGGAAATACTTACACTACTTTACTACATCACCCTTTCCTCTTCAAGGGAAAACCAACGCGGTGCTCAAGAGGTAGCAAGAAGGATTTCTGGCGCCGTTGCCGGGGAGATTCGCGCCAAGTCAAGTCAAGATTTGACTCCCGACAATGAGACATTTCTGGTGCCGTTGCCAGGGAGTCTACGCACAAGTCAAGACATACCAAGTACCCATCACAAACTCTTATCCCTCGCATTATATTCTTTGCCATTTGCCTCTCGTCCTCTCCCCCACTTCACCCTTACTGTTTTATCCGCCTTTCTTATGTTCGTCTTTCCATTTGCTTTCATGTCCTACTTGGCTCGTTTGCTCGTTTGGTTGGAATAGTTGTTTATTTATTGCTAAACAAAGAACCTAAGATCTATGGATCCTCATCCGCTTGCTAATCTTTTTAAGAGATCCAATTATGATGAACCAATTGCTAGTGAGTTGTGTGCACTAGATTATCTTTATGAAGTTTTGCTTGAAATTCGTGAATCTGAAAATTGTGATAAAGTACTTTATGGAGTGATTCACGATGGATCTTTGAATAGAAAGCATGATTGCAATGATGATAGTATAAATTCTATTAATGTCAATTGTGCTTATAATATGCAAAACCCTAAGCTTGGGGATTCTAGTTTTGCTATGTCTACTACTTGTTGCAATGATCATG